TAATGTTGAAAGATTTAATAATTATTAAATCTAGTAAAATAATAATACCCAACACATATATATTTATATATTTATATTAATTCTTAAATATCTATGTAAAGACAATATAATAATATTTTTTATTACATTTTATTTATTCTTTATATTTTCTTTTTTTTAATTGAGTTGGTATATCATCATTTCGATGTGAAATTCAAAGATACCATGAATGCACATAGAAGTAAAGTTTCCTCGGCATCGTGTGTAGCAATTTCGTTTCATCGTTCTTTGACTCGGAACATACGTAGAAACGAGCTCATACATACATATATATATATATTAATATACGTGTGTGTATGTTCGATTGGAAACTGTTGGGCATCGGAATAACCATTCAAAGGCCACGACGTTCACGTCGGGCTTTTGCTCGTAGAAACCGTCCAGAGTTTGAGCACGTCAAAATACTCAACCTCAATTGATCGTTCATAGCAATCACTATGCCACGAACATGTACGCAGCAAAGTATTAACACCTGAGGCTAGAAGTGTATATTCATGATACACATGATCGGGTCTCGTTCTGAAGTTAATAAAACTTTTCTCTCTTTTCTTTTCTTTCCTTTTCTTTTTCTTTTTTTTTCTTTCTTAATCTAACATACGAAATTTATTTTTCACACTTAAAAATTCAAAAAGAATAAAAAGAACAAAATTCATTCATTTATCATAATATATCAATTTCTTTTTTTCTTTTTTTTTTGTTTGTAACCCATTAAAAATCTAATAAGTCAACGATACCATCGTGTACCCCTCCCCCCACCCAAAAGTCGTACAATTATTTGAAAATAATAAATCAAATTGAGCAAACAATCGCCCGCTATATGATTTATTATTCTGTGATACTAATGCTAAATGGATATTCAATATTCATTCATTATTATTGAAAACCTTTCATTTATTATAACAGATTACCTTATACTAAGTTTTTATTTATGAATAACTACAATGAATAACTACAATGAATGGAACATTGATAACGTTGACTGTTTCTTATCTTTATTTTATAATATAAAATTACGATGAATAAACACTTGTATGTTTGATTCCTTCCTTTGTGAACGCACGAATATACACATACGTATACAAAGAGTAAGAGAAAAAGGACAAAAGTAAACAAAAATAAAAAAAAAAAATCATATTACCCGGTGTATAAATTTAGAACGAAAATCGGCTTAACCGATGAAAAACTTCTCCCGTTCATTTTTTTCCCCCTTCCTTCTTTTTTATTTTCGTTCCGTTTAACCTGGCCCGCTTTTTTATCTCGTTAAAACTGATCTCGAATTGCGCTTTTCTGAATTTACGAGTAATACCTCTCCCCCTTCTCCCCCTTCTTCTTCTTCTTCTTTTTTGAATGGTCTATTACCGCCAAGGACGCATGACTTTTTTTTTGGTACTATTTTTTTTTTGGTTTTTAATTTTTCCTTCTATGGAAATTTATATATATATATATTTGTGTGTGTGTGTGTTTTTTTCACATCTTTTTCTTTGCGGTTTATAATCGTTAAAGAAAAAGAAAAAAAAGATTAAAAGAAAGAGAGAGAGAGAGAGAGAGAAAGAGAAAGAGAGTAAAAGGGAATGGGAAGCTACCTGGTCGAGACAGTTTTAACTATTGTACAGTGTAGGTGCAGTAATGAGAGACAATTGTTCGAGGAATACAATACAAGGAAATATGCACAATGGATGCTCGTCGACGATCGTTAGTTAAGATATTCCCTCTCGTTGCCTATCCATTGCATTATATAGATATATGTATATGAAATTGTGTATGTTTATGTGTTTGTGTATATATATATATATATGTGTGCGTGTGTATATAAATGTAAAGAGAGAGAGAGAGAGAGAGAAAGGGATTACGTAACGAATGGTGGCAATGTATAAGGTGGAATGGTAATCGTGAGGGTGGAAGAAAATAGTGTCAGGTGCGATGATGGATGAGAGGATTTTACGAACGAATGATGAAAGGAAAATAAAGAGTCAACAAAATCAAAGGAATAGGATCGATGAACGAAAGATGCAAAACTAGAAAGTAATTAATAGTTTTTTTGTTTCTTTTGGAAAGATACTAATCAATGTGTTTAGTGTTATCTAACGAATGTTATAATACTTAACTCGTAATGTTTTTTTTTATTACGTGTCCAGGTGTAATGCAATTAACTTCGGTGCGTTTTATTTTTTGTCTTTTTTTTTTATATACTTTCAATTATTATAAAATATATTTTGGAATTTGTACACAATCCTGCTCGATATTTATTTATTTATTTATTTTTTCTTACGAACAAGAATACTTTTGCCAAATAATTTTCTACGAACAAAGTTTTATCATCTCATTTTATGATATAATTAATTTAATTAATCGAGTACCATGGGGAAATTATAAAAATTTAGCGAAATTGTAAAATATAATATGGTTTTCTCTTCTGAAAATAAAAATTCTCGTCTCCCATATTCGATTAAATTTATATGCAAGAAAGAAGTAAAATATCTTCGTTATTTTTTTAAATTTAATTTTTTTAAATTCAACTTATTTGATAATGTAAAATAAGCTTCTATAATTCTTCAATCCAGTTTCTAATTTCATTTTCTACAATTATTTTCATCTTTCTCGTATTGCTATGAAATGAAAAAAATTATGAAACCGATTATTTTCTAATTTTATTAAATTAATGCAGTAGCAGAAAAAATTATACAAAGTTTAAGTTTATTATACAAATAAAATTCTCTCATTTATCATAGTCTTTTATATTTCCATACGAAAAAAGAAGTATAATAATTCTGTATAATAACTTTACCTAATTAATTAACCTAGTTCGTAATATGATAAAAAAAAAAAATAAACAAAATTATCCAATCAAGATTCTCATGTTCGTAGAAATGAAATTTTTGTAGGTTCGCCATATTTTCGACCAAATTCTTATTCAAAAATAGAAATAAACGATCTCGATTATTTTCCGTTCTAATTATTTGATACGGTGTGCGTAAAATAATATTTAAAAAAAGAAAATAAAAAAAAATTGTCAACATAGTGCGATGGTCCGTTTTCTTTTTTGTTTTCTACACGTAAAATTTCTTTCTTTCGAATAACAATTCCCAAAAATAATTGAAATGATCCCATTCATTTCGGTATTTAATTAATTAATATAATATCATTAAAATAATCTTTAATATAAATTTCTTTTATTACAGACACGTTGAGCCTGGGTGACCGGACGTTGGATAACATGGATAGAAGAACAAGTCAAAGTAATAGGCCTCGTCAACAAATTTTGGATAATTCGTCGGGTCTGAAAATCAAGCCAGAACCTAGTTTCGATTTTTCCCAAAATACGAACGTGACTGCGTTGATCGGGAAATCGGCCTATCTAATTTGCCGAGTACGTAATCTCGGTGATAAAACGGTAAGAATTATTTTATTAATTATCTATTAATATTAATATTAATACACAGTAATAAAATTTCAATTAATTTTACGAAATAGCAAAATATTCATATTAATATTTCTATCTAAATCTGTGGATGAGAAAGAGAAAGAGAAAGGGGACAAGGGTAGATGGGGAGGAAGTAGCAATGGGGGTTGTAGGATTACACGCTGATATGACACAATAACAGGAACGTATATGCATAACAATAGAAACGTATAATACTGCTTAATCCCAGTTGTGAATTTACGACGAATCCTTTATGAAATTACATGTCTGCAACGTGAAGAGACAAACACGAAGAACTATTGTGCGCGCGCGTATATATGTGTGTGTGTGTGTGTATCTATATGTGTACAACGTTTTCCAATATTATCTTCATAAAGTCTCTATAAATGCACATATGCATGTATACGCAGAGATTAGGTAGAACTTCTTTTTTTTTTTCTTTCAAATAAATGGTATTTGATTTTTTATTACGAAAAAAGATTAAAAAATTATAGATTTTTTATTGAGAAAAGAAAAATTAGGTCAACTTTTCAAATAATTTTAATAACGTCCATTACACATATTTTTATATTTATTATTTACTTAATTAAAAAAAAATCAAATAATATTTCATTAAAAATATTTTTTCTTCGCGATATTTAAATGTTTAGACGTGTCAACTTAAAAGCCAAACTTTTTATATAACGTCAAAGTTATACATAACATTTTTTTTTTTTTTACTATGCATACTATGAAAAAGGAAGAAAATTATCGAGTATATAAAATCTGTTGGAAACAGTCGATAGGTCAAACGTGTATTTGTTTTTCGGACATCGAAAGAGGAATTTCCTGAACATGGTAAATATTTTCCTAGAAAATTGCAACATGTTGCCTAGGCTTTTGACAAATTCAAACTGGTGAATTTTATTATCGTGTGTGTGAGAGAGAGAGAGGCATATGTATATATATAGCGTTCTCTTTTATCGAACGGTAGCTCTCGATTTTCGTAAAGACGTTCCAGAGGAAACGATTTTCCAAGAAATAATCGAATTTCTCTGGGTCGATTGAACGTTAATCGAGCTTTAGAGGGAAACTAGAACCAATTTTATCAAACAGTGCTATCGTTCTTGAAATTGACCAATCAAAGGCTATGCATAGAGATTTCGAATATTGCATTTATAATTTTTTCTCTCTCTCTCTTTTTCTCTTTCTTTTGGTTACTATACTCGATTGTCTAGAAAGTTCATATCGACTTTTAAAAAAATGTTATTTTATTTTTTTGTTTATATAATATATATATTTTTTTTTTCTAAATCAAACAAAACTTTCCGGGAATGCTACGGAAGCGAAAATAATTGCTAATTTTAGTAAAATTATATTTTTTATTATAAAACTAACAATCTCTCTCTCTATCTCTCCGATTCGAGGTTTTCAAACAATTCAATTATGCATTAGGTTTTTAGTAAAGTGATTGCCAATTTTCAGAACATTTCTATTCATATTAAAAATAATAATCAGCACGAGCTTTCCTGGTAACCCATATATTCCTCTTTAATAGTTTATGTTATCTGTGGAAATAATAATATTATCTATAAACATGTAGATATATACAGGATGATAATAAGCATTTCTATTAATGAAACACAAACGAAAATTCGTAAATTATCCTCGAATTCGAGAATGATAAAATATTATATAGCTTGGTATATGTTGAAATAAAATTAATCTCTCTCTCTCTCTCTCTCTCTCTCTAACTAGATAATATTAGATTAGATTTTTACTAATTGTCTGTTCATTTCTTTTATGGAAAATATTCTTATAATATGTTGCTCGTTTGTAAGCCAATTATTTAATCTCTTTCTTCTCCTCTGCCTTACTTTAGTTTTTTCTCTTCTTCTCTAATTATTCGCTAAATTACATTTAGAAATTGAGTGCATCGTACAATACGATTAAGTACTTTCTTGTTACAATCCAACTTCTCCGTAAAAGCAATTTAATTATTTCGACTATTGTAATTGAACGACGATTACAAAACCGATTTTAATTGATCCTTACTATTAATCGATAATATCATAAAAGTATCTACGATCATTTACTGCTATTTGAAAATCTACTTAATTTCACTTCATATTCGTTGAGAAAAAATCCATAAATGACCCCTCGCGGATAATTAACTTATTATCAAAAGTAAAAATGATCAAATTGTTATATCGTGCTTCTTAAATTGTTCCAATGTTTAAAAACTCTCCTCATATATATTATATTTAAGAAATTAAAAAATTGTAGAAAGCAAAATTTAATGTTTATTTTTTATATAGAAACAAATGAAGCTACAAAATTATAGATTTTAATTTGATCGACCATATAAAGTTGATTTTAAAATACTTTATAATAAAAACGGGTACAACATTTACTATACAAATATTTACTTATTTTAAAATCTCTCAGTTAAAATAATGTCATTTAACAAGAGGTTTCCGTTATTTTGATTAAATTTTAACCGTAAAAAATTTTCCTGACCGGTAACAAAAATATTCTTTTTCTTGTATGTAAAGTATAATATAACAAGTTTCATGCGATTAGCAAAAGTTTTACTGTGCACGCACATCGCAACTAAATATATACTTTAAAAATACGTTTATAAGCACGAATTGTTAGAATCAGGTTTAACGAGGATTGCTTCATTTTAAACGAGTTGAATGTAGAATTTATAAGATGTAAAGACGCTTTTGGAATATTTATCGTATCTACCTAACAATTCTCATTATGCGTTTATGGAAATGAATATTTAGACTTAATTTGAAAACATGAATTTGTCTAAAATTAATTCATAAGATAATTATTAAAACAATTCATAAATTTTACAATCGTTCTATATTAAAATAGAAAAAAAAGATCTTTAAAAAGATTTTATTTGATTATCCGGAAAGAGTTTATGCTGTTTATTATTTTTAATACGCATACAATATTTTGTACAAAATTCCCGAAAAGTTCGTGCTGATTTTGAGAAAAAATTAAAAATAATATTTATTATTACATTATTATATTAATATATTATTATTATTATGTAATATTAATTTTCTAAACCAAATCGTGTTCTACGAACAAATCAATAATTCTCATTTCGCAATACTAAAACGTATTTCAATTTCTGAACTTGTCGATGTAAGACGCTTGAGAAATGGAAATTCGTAATATGGCAAGTGGAATCTCGCTTATCCTGACGATTCCATAGCCTCGAATACATGGTTAGAACCGGAAATTTCATTTATTTATCGCCCGCATTCCATAGCTCCAACAAAGGGAGATAGTATGATCTGAGAATCGTTTTACATACACTTACATATACATAGATCTGCATATGACGTGCATCGTACAATTTCTGCCCCCGAGAAATGATATTAACTTCTCATCTTGATGCTCACGTATGAGTTCCTAAATTCCTAATCTAATTTTATTTCAAGGCTGATTGAAAATTATATATCCGCAAAATCAACTAATATCTATAAAATTCAACAACATCAAATTTCATACAATTTTTTTTCGTTCTGTTAATTATAAGGTTTAATTGAATGACATTATATTATTATTATTTAACAAATTCAATGAAATTATACTACAATTTAAATTTACAAAAGAACACTATAGTGTTCAAGAAACAATATTAAACTATACCTGATTTTGACAGATGTATATCAACTCATGTGAATTTATTATCAAATTGACTTTTCTTCAAATGTATGTAACGTACGTGTATACAATCAACGTCAAATTCTCAACCATTTCCATGATTATTCGTTAATAGAATACAGAAAAGTATCTATAAATAGTATTCATCATTCAACGATGGAATTGTACTGCAATTGAATTCATAGAAGGAATATGTGGCCCTTTAGAAACGATATTAGCTATTTCTGATCTTGACAGATGCGTATTAGCTCGTAAATTCGTAATCAAATTTGATTTCTGAGTGCTTGGAACGTACATAGGTTTAATTTAAAGCAAAATTGCTATGATTTTAGAGGACTGTTGATCGATGCATTCCATTTATATAGTTATTAATAATAATTTTAGATTTATAATATATTATTCATATATTTTCTATTTAATTTATAATAAATATTTATTTTATTTTATATATTAATAAGATATATTTTTCTAAATTTTAATTTTGTAAAAGATTCGAAATAAAAATATCGATAAACGCAACCCGATGTTGCATCTTTTATTTTTCAACGACATTCAACTCACAATTACTTTCCAGGCACGCTCGTTGACGTGAAACTTAAAAAAAAATATATATAATATATAGACATATTTATTTGAAATCAATAAAATGTAAAATAAAAAAAGAAAGCGTAGAATAGTAATATAAATTGAATCGCAATAATGATCGTCCATGATTGTATAGTGAATCCTAGATCACGTTATACGTAGAGTTTCCAGCTGGATACTTGAAGCTCGTATTAACGAGCAATCAGACTTCAAGCTCGAACGAGAGATATCGATAAGGATTTGAACGTTCTTGCACGTTCCTGCAATATCGACATATATATGCATGAATACATACACGTATATGTATTTATATATATACAAATACATATATACATACGTGTATTAATTTCCGTAAGACCGACACGGCTTATTCGCTATGCCCTTAATGAAGAGAATTCGAACATTGGACGGTCTGAGATTTGGCACGATTCGATAAGAACCTTAAGATATACATATATACTTAGATGTATAGGTACGTAATAGTATAGGTAAAACAGGAAACTGGAATTATTATCGGTCGTGTGAAAGTAGGTCAATATTTCCTACGCGACCTTACATATCACCCAGCCAGCCCTTCTCCTTTAATCATTTACAACATCGCCCTCAACGTTGAGAATCTTCTACCATCATCCAACAACCACCCATCTCTAGCCCCTTGAACAATCTATATATATATATATACCATCGATATTACAAATTATAAAAATGTTTTGCGTTCAACGAACCGTACACGAATACGACCATGTACACTTATTCGAAGGCTAAATTGCGATTGAAGTTACTGACGTGAATGTTTCGTTGAAAAATACTGCACGGGAAAATATTTCAAAAATCTAGAAATATATTTTCGTTTGAAGTATTACGCGTAGAGATCGCTGAAAATATCACATACACCTTACGATATTTAATAACTTTTTTTTTTGCAAATATAAAATATTTGTTTTTATTTTTTTTTTTTTTATACATATATACTGTTACGTCCTGTGGCGTTATAAAACGTGTGGTCAGTTTTTGATCAAACTGTTAAACCTTTACCAGGGAATGACCTAAAAAATTGTGGGTGACTTGACGAGTGATGAGATTTGGTTGTCAGAAACTGGAAGGAAAGAGGGTAATTAAAGTATGAAATCTATTGAGAAATAAAATAAGATACTTATCTTTTTCTGCTGCTGGGTGGGATAGTCCTCTGGTTCTGCTTCGATCAACTCAAATAGAATATTTCTAATCGCGCGTAATATTAATATTCTACTCACTCTCAAATTCGTTTATCTTCAAATTTATTCTTTTACGTTACCGATTAATCTTATAAATGTTTCACTGATTTTATAGAACAGAATACGGATTTATTATTTAACTGAATGCAGACTTAATATCGAAAATTCAATGCAAACTTACCGAATAACAAGGAATTAATTAACTAATACAGATTTACTAGCTAAAACAGAAATAACAGATTACTGAATAATATAATATATATTTACTATATATAATATTAAATATTATATAATATAATATTATATTGAAATGTAATCAAATTTATGAATTATTTTCTACTCGATACTTAATTGAATATTTTATTTATTATAATATAAATTAATTCGTGCATATAAATAATTACAGTGCTTGAGTATCGTAAATATCGGATATCGAATAACTGTAGTAGAATAATCAAAATTTCATTCCCGAGCTATAAAATCAGTTGTTTCAAGCAAGTTAGTTTCGATAATGGCCTTTAAATCATTATTGTCAATAATTGAAGGACATCTGCGACCCTCTTCATCTTCGAAGCTTTCCACCGTAATATTTTTCGAACCAATATTATCGAGCTAATTCTTTATTGTCACTTGAAAAACATTGAACAATTTCTGCTACTTTTCATCTCGATTTAAAAACTATTGTAATAAAACGCAAAATCCTGCGAATTAAATTGTTATATTCTTGGTGCACGATGAATTTAGAAACAAAACAAAACAAAAAAAGAAAAAGAAGAAGAAGAGAAAAAACGCGAGAAAAATTGGACCAAAAAATAAAGAAAATTATTTCGTTCATTAATTAAAATCCTAAACTCGTGAGAATATATGAGGAATATCGTTGAACGCGTAATTGAATCGTATTTTTTGTTGGTTATTTTTTTTTGGAATTAAATATAATACGAAATTCTGATGATAAAATGAAGAACGTTCCTTCCAGTTGACGGTTATGTCCGCCGGAATGAATTTCAACTATAACGTCGTGCATTCATCATTGTCAACATCTTGCCGAGCACTTAGCACGATTCGCAATTTCGAGTGGTCTCGTCACCAAAGTCGGCCTCGGTCTTCGGGCTCGGAAAAGCCAACTTGGAAACCGCTAAACCATTTCTGGAACAGAAACCGGTCCTGGTTGCCGACTCTCGAGATCGTTACGAGACATAAACTTATCTCGCGTGTAAATACGCTAAGTGGTGCCAAGTGTACTCGGCTGTGCGCAGCACCGAGTGCAAACACGAGTACGAAAGCTCTTCGTTCTCGCTGAGAAGACGTTGAGGCTCTTGGAGGAGATTTTTATCTTTCAACGTGAATTTTCGAATATTTTATTTCTTTTCTTTTCTTTTCTTTTCTTTTGTCTTTTAATACCAACAACAAAAACTTAAAAGAAAAAATAAATAATTAATCTAATGAATAATATCACACACATACATTTAATATAATTGAATTTATTATTCTTACAAATATCACATTCATTTTGGATTTTTAATTATTAGTTTTTCTTTTTCTTTAAATAATTAACCATTACAAGAAAATCTAAATTTCGTATAAGTTTTCTAATTTCGAGGGAATATTGTGAAATATATTATAATATTCGTAAATTAAAAAATATGTGATAGTAGAACATGAATTTTGATTCGTAATATAAAAAAAAACCACACACACACACGCACACGCACACATACGACATTGTGAACGAATGGTGGCTACGATTCTCTCAAACGCGTTTGACTGTGAAGCAATTTTCCGGGATGGTCGAGATCGAGGTCGAGCGAAAGCAACTCGTTTCACTCGTCGTTGTACGTTCAAACGAAGGGAAAGAACAATACTATTTCAAGGGTAGGGGTGAATCGTAGAAAAGTGTCATCGGAAAGGAAAAAAGTTGAAAGCAAGCCGGGATCCCTATCGTATTCTTTTAAAATCATTGTAAATTTCTTTTTTATTTCTTTCCTAAGGCAATAGTCGACCTTCAGAGTAAAACAGGGGTAGAAAAATTTAATTTATTTTACGATTCCCACACGTTGTAAAAATTTATTAGTATTTTTATCGTAGTATCTATCAATAAATAACCCGAAAAAATAAATAAAGAAAAGAGTTAACGAAGTATTTTTTATTCTTTCGTTATATCTGCAAAGAGAAAAGAGACCTGAAGACAAAAATAAAAAAGAAAAGTTTTTTTTTTAATATTACGATTAATTTATATTTTAAATTTAAACAGAGTTATATAAATTTAATATATATGTACATGGTACATCTCCTAATATTTAAAGCTACATCTAATATCTATGGATAAAAATATTCGAAACGAAACACGCGGTATAGATAAAACGGACAAGTTTGCCGTTTGGAAAGTTAGGTAGGAATAGAAGTAACTTTGAGTTTTTGCAGATCGAGGGGCTTTCGACTTTTGCTACAGCAGAACCGGAAATAGGCGAATCTCTCTCTCGTTCGTTCGTTCGTTCGTTCGGTCCACCCTTTCGTTTGAAAATCTCAATAAACTCGAACGATGTACCACTGTGGATACTGTTTCCTGGAAAGTAAAGTTGGCTACTCCTACCAGATTACTTTCTCATAGTCGGCCAAAAACGGAGAATCTAAAGCAAACGTACGCTTAGTCGGATAACAAAGTCGACAGAAATACGAACATTAAATATTCCCTTTTGGAAAATTATATTTTACGATTAATGCATTCCGTAATTTTTCACTCATATGTGACAACTGTTCGCTTTAGCTCAGATAAATAAATTACAGTAATATGTTATATTAGTATTTGCCACGTGTTATCAGTTACCAACATTCGTGTACTTTCGTTAAGTACGTTATTATTTATACGTGATCTAATAAATTATATTTATCCGCGTAAAAAAAACAATTTGTCCAATAGAAAATAAGTTTACGTGGCATTTTTTTCCTGTTATACAAAGAAGCAGTAAAAACTGTGTGAACGTAACGTGCGTGACCTAAAAATGATGTCAACATTTCAATTAGAGTCACGATACCAAGATACTTCATTCTTAATACTGATAATTTATTAAATATCAGTCATCTGTTAAAAACATTACAAATCATCATTCCAATACTGATTAATAGATTTTTTCATAGAAATACGAAAAATATTTCTAAATACTGACCCAATAACTGAGAGTTATAATACAGGGATATGCATAACATCGATATTTCTCATTTCAATTTGTAAAGCATCAATCGGGATATGATATCTTTTTTTTTTCCTTTCATTTCTTTTTAAAGGTATCCTGGGTTAGGCACAGAGACATTCACATCTTGACGGCCGGTGCTTACACGTATACGAGCGACCAACGATTTCAAGCTTTGCATCAAAAAAATACAGGTCAGAACAGCGAATGGTCGGAGTGGACACTTTGCATAAAGTGGGCACAGGAAAGAGATCAAGGAATCTACGAGTGCCAGATATCAACCATTCCACTAAAATCGCATCAGTTTCGATTGAACGTCGTTGGTAAGTATCCCCTCCACTCCGTTTCATTTCTATTAATAATAATAATAATAAAAAAAAAGGAGATGGAAACAGATAGAGATAGAGAGAGAAAAGAAAAATATGATTTCAATGTTGCAAGTTTAAAAGGTGAAAAGTAGCACGCTCGATACTCGCTGCATTCTCTCAATTACAGAAGCTTCAGCTCGCTACTTTTCCACGGGATTACGATCCTACTTAAAAAGCTCACTCATCTCTCTTTTTCTCTCCGTCGGCTCGCTTTTAGCTCGTTCAAGGGTATCATCACCCTGTCTCTCTTTCTCTCCAGCAGTTTTTCTCGACTAGAAAGAGCTTTTTCGAGGGCACGCGTCTCCGTATTTATCCTAAGAAACGACGATAGCGGATAAAAGCTGTTGAAAGAAAGAAAGAAAGAGAGAGAGAGAGAGAGAGAGAGGAAGAGTTAGTCA